CAAATATTCCATAGTGCTTGGATTTTAAAACTAAAACATTGTAATGAATTATCCTGAGCAGCAGTGCCTGATTAATTACCAAATATAAAATACTAGTTATCTATTAGAGGGAGATGACTAACCTAAGAATGTATTGATCCACAGCAGAATGAAATTTTATTACTACTAAAACCACACCCCCACATTGTATAATTTTGGTAAAAATTTAATGCTTTTTCAAATGCAAGAAAACCCCTGTTATATTATGGGTACACCGCTGTGTCAAATAATTAAATTAGCTGTCAAAATTCAAAAGGCTCAGTTAAAAATGAATCCAAGCCACAGAGATTCAACAAGAATGCAAGTAACATGTAGTTAGGAACAAATCACGTGCCCAGGCACAGAATATGAGAATTTTGACCAGAATTATTTATAAAAGATTTGGGGTTTTAGTTGACCCCCAGCCAATTAAGAGCGAGTCTGGAGAGGCAGCTAGAGCTTTTTAAATTTTCAGATTTTACAGATCTGATCAAAGCCAGGTTTTCACCACCACCATCCTATATGCTAGGCTGCTGCAATTTCTTATTTCTCCCAGTTTACATATCTTTGCCTGCTTCCAATTTAGTCCAGACAAAACACATAATTAATTATTGAAAATGAACTCTGGACACCAGTTCTTTTTATATCATCCTATAATGGTTTCTCTTTTGATGGGTTTTTAACGGCCACACTTAACACAAGTTCTTTCGAGCCTTCTTCTTTTTTTTTTTATTTTTTTGGTACTTGGGATTGAACTCAGGTCCTTGCGCTTACAAATGAGTCCTGTTCTTGAGGACATCTCCTTCGCTCTTCTGCTTAAAGCCGATCTACACCGAGAATCCTGAGTCACTCCCCCTCCCCTTGACACGGGCGCCCCTGCACAAATCAAGTCTGTCACCCTCTCTCTGGATGTCTATGCCAAAAATCCTGTTGGCTTTTACACCAAGAATCCTGTTAGTCAATTCAGCAAGATTCCTTTTTTCATGTCTCCTTTTAGTCATTTTATATCTACTGACCCTTCAATCTACTTTTTGAACTGCAAATCCCCACGTGCCCTTGTTGTATTTGGAACTGAGCACAGTACTGCCAGCAGAGTATCACCTTCTGATTCCAAATCTATAGAATTCATCCTTACTTTGTTCTCTCATGCTCTCTTGCTCTCTTTCTTTCATGGCACTTCTTGAAATATGTAGCTATTTATGCATTTATTAACTTCTAACCCTCCTAATCAAACTGTAAGTTCCCTGTCTGTTTTGTGTGTTACGCTATGCCTATATACTGGCACATATTAGGGCATCAGTAGATTTCTGTTGAATGAACACATTAGCAGCTTATTATTGTTAAAAAGCCAAGTAATTTCATAATTTCTTCTCATTTGAAAGGATGAGAACAGGCAATATGAAGAATGATGTCCAAATGGTTCTATACCAAGGAGGAAGCAATGCAGCCCTACCCACATTTATGTCTAACTTCATACTACACCTCTACATCGTTCATCTTCCTTAGCCTACAACTTCCCCCATTCCCCATCTATCAGTGGTCACTGTCTTTCGTTTCTATTCCAATTTCATTCCTTTGTTCAGTTTATTTCACAAATGAGTTATGATAACATCCTAATGTATTTCCCCACATCTTGTGTCATCAACTCTCCAGTGTATTTTTATAGTGCTGCAAAATTAATCTTTCTTAAATGCTGTTTTCAAATATTTCCTAGCTGAAACATATCTGATGGTTCCTTTGTGTTATAAATGCAATCTTATCCTCAATTTACATTTCAAAATAAAAGGTTTAAATAACTCAGGCTTAATTTTTCTTTACTATCAGCATGAACATGTAACAGGGAAAACTAAATATGTTACTAGAATAAACATTGCTATTTGTTACTCCTGTTTCATGTCATCTGCTGCTTTTCTACCTAGATTATTTTCTCCCCAAGTCTTCTAACTAGTGTGTGAACATGCATAACATCTGCCGATCTTGAGCCCCAATTGTAAAAGGATATCTGTTACATATGTCTAAGGTTTTCTTCTGCAGTGCATTGTAGAGCTTTTATGTTTGGGTGAACAATATAAAAAACATGATATGTGGGTTATAAAAATGTATTTCGTTCCTCTTCAAACTATGAACTTCACCAGGCAGGGGCTCAGTCTTATTTCATTTGCCTTGCTCATGGTACTTAATACACTGCCTTGCCATAAACTGAATGATACCTAAGAACTGCTTAAATAAAACTAAACAGAAAAGAATTAAAATCAATCATACTTACTCGCCCATCTCCCATGGTGGAAAACAGCAAAAAGGAAGGATATGTTTTTGTTGTTCTTTTGATTCAAGGACTGCTATCACATCTGGATATTGACTAGTTAGGTAGTTGTTCAGGATGATCATGAAATTATAGATAACATATGCTTCACAGCACTCTCGGAAAGTATTCAAATATATGGCAGCGCTGGGTTTTATCAGAGCTACCCACTATCAAAAAGCACAGAAATTTAACATAGTTGCATCTTAGATACAATTTATGGTATGAAAATAAGCTAATTTAAAACTTGAGGTGTCTTGTCACATATTTATATTAAACACTCAATAACAATTTATCATTCTAATGGCTACCAGATTACCTGTGAAATGAAGTGTGTCTGTGGTGCTGGAATCAAATGCTAGGCACATGCTTTATCACTGAGCCACATCCCCACCCCTTGGAAAATAATTTTAGAGAGTAATAAACATCTTACACATAGATAAATAAAAAACAAATGTTTGGGATAAATAATGAACATGAGAGAAGCTAAATTGAGTTCTCAAAATTAACTTGAAAATCTTCTTGATATGAGCATAGAAAATGCTGTTACAGCCATTTTCTTCATATCTAATCAAATTAGAGCCACAGTCATGTCCTTTGGGCAAATTTTACAAAATTCATTTGGTTCAAACAGAAGATATTTGTAACAAAAAATGAAAAACCCTCCATCTGTACTGAACATGTAGCAATCTTTGGGCTCACCATTCCCTCAGTGATAACAACTACATACACAGCATTTGCACTGGGTCAGGTGTTACAGGTCCTCTAGAGAGGACTCGATGTGCAGAGAGCATGAATGTACTTGGAAGGGAGCATGTAGGTTACATGCCAACACTACCTATTTTACATCAAGAAGTTGAACATCAGCAGAGGTTGAGCATCACAGTACAACTGCAATTTAATATATTACATTCTTTAAAGGACTAAGAGCTACTAATCTGAAATTTTAAAAAATTAAGCTGAGAGTTATAGAATTTTGAAAATTCAATGTATCTGCAGTTTTATTTTCTATTATCATACTTTACACCTTCTTATCAACATTAAAAATAAGTGAACCTTTTTGTTTTCTTACTAAACTCCTCATTGTAGATATACTTCCATGACCTTAAGTATTCTCTTATAAGCATTGTTAATATGAACAAATTCTGTTCATGAAATAAAACAAAACATACTTACACTATCCAAACTATATATGGGAACCATCCAAGGGATTCTATTTGGAAAGCAAAGAATAAATGTAAATTACTTTATGTTATATTTACAATAGAAGCCAACACAACATTAGTAGAATCAAAATAGAAGATTGACCTGATAATTGACTTTTGCAGTTCTGGCTGTGTATAATGCACTACATGTTGCAAGATTCCCCACCGCAATACTGGCACTGTCATAAGTACAAACACACCAGCTAAGGCCCAACCCTTGGACTGTATTCCAACCTTGAGAAACAAAGGAACACATTGATAGAGATTATGATAACTATACAGTCCAATAAAACATGACTACTTCTTAAATTTTCACTTGATTACAAATTAAGATCAATATTTTCTAAATGTTTAAAGGCTAATTTTATTTCATCTTCCAAAATAAAGAGCCTGTTTGTGATTTTTGTAGGGAGGGGGCGTATTTTTCTTCATGGACTTGAACATTCCCTCATGAAACTTCTTACAGCAGGTTTTTATAATTAACAATATTAGCATTGTGTCACACACACACACACACACACACACACACACACACACACCTACCACCTGCTTATTCTCTGCCTTTTTACTTTGAATATTGTGATTGGAGATGTATAGAAACTTTCACATTTTCTGTAAATATAAATAATTTTTAAGGGTTTATTCCTTTACTTCCATCCATACAAAGTTAAAAATCTACCAATATTTTCTTTCAATGTTACTATTAAGTATTTGGTTTTCCTGCACTGGGGATTGATCCCAGTCAGCTATACACTAGTCTTTTAAAAAAGTTTTTTTGAAGAGAGGCACAGTGCATGGAGCTTTCCTGGGTCCACAGCCCCACCCCTGCAGTCCTTGGCAGAGGAACAGTGAGAGGGGCAGCCCCCTTCCCCACACACACCCCTGACCTCTTGTCTAGGCTGGTACCTGTATTTGTAGCATAGAGGTACAGGGAGTCATAAAGGCCATTGTTCTGAGCTCTAGCCTTGATTTTTATTTAATTCATACAGTTAAAGAGGATAGATTAATAACTACCACAAACTGTCATTTGTCTAAGCTGTGCTTAATGCTGTTCTGTTGTTGATTGTATTACATGGGCTAAGGTGCTGTGATTGATTTAATCAATTGTTCTACCTGGTATAATGAAAAGGAGATTGCCTCAGAGTCATTAGAGACTCAAAACCTAAAGGCAAGCTATAACAGGAAGAGTGAAGTATTAACCCAGAAATTAAACAAGGACAGTACCAACTACAAAAATAGAAATGAGAAGATATTCAAGCAAGGCACAAGCCCAAACAAAGGCTGTCTGTTCATCAAAGGCAAATTCTGAAAAAAATGAGGTGGAAAAGCCTGATACTCAACCATGTGGACATCCTGAACTGATAGCACAGGAAGTAACAAAACAGATGAAGGAGGCTCTAGAAAAATTCAAAACAGAAAGAATTTCCCTGTTAACTACAGTGATGGTGAGCGCAGTGAAAGAGTCTTAGAGACTCAAAAAAATATATGAGCTCAGGACCTTAACAGAAGCCATGAGTGCCCAAAATAGCAAAGAAATGGAATCCATGAAACAGATTCAAACAGATATCCAAGAGATTAAAAACTCTATTGAAAGTATACATAACAGGCTGAGCCAATCTGAAGACAGGATATCAGATATAGAAGACAGGATGATGGTCAGTGACCATGAAAAGAGGGATCTGTTAAAAAAAGTAAGGGAACATGAGAAATCAATCCAACAGCTCCTAGATGATGCAAAGAAGAATAATATAAGACTGATAGGAATTCATGAAAGAGCAGAAGAAAGTACAAGTGATGTAAAAAAAAACTGTTCACAGAATTAATGACAGAAAACTTCCCAAAAAGAGCAAAATAATTTGACATACATACAAGTAATGATCACAAAAAAATCTATACCTAGTCATATAATAATCAAGATCCCAGAAACTAAACAGAAGGACAAAATAATATATAAGCAGTTAGAGAAAAGAAACAAATCACATACAAAGGAAAGTCCATCAAAATCACAACAGACTTTTCAACCCAAACTCTCAAGTTAAGGAGAGCCTGGAGTGAAGTATTTCAATCCCTAAAAGAAAACAACCTCCAACCTAAACTGATGTATACTGCAAAACTCACTCTCAAAACTGATGGAGAAATAAGATACTTCCATGACAAAGAACACATGAGAATCTTCATGAAGACAAAACCAGCACTTCAAACAATTATAAATAATATCCTAGGAAAAGACAATGAAGGTCACAATTTCATGAGGACCAACATAGCAAATCCAGGAGGCAAGGCAAGAAATTAGAGAGAGAGAGAGAGAGAGAGAGAGAGAGGGAAAAATTAAAAAGAACAACAGGAAAATAACATGATGAAGATAAGTCAATACATATCAGTTGTATCCATCAAGGTTAATGGGCCCAGTTCACCAATCAAAAGAAATAGACTGGCAGAATGGAGTAAGAAGCAAAATCCAACAATATACTGTATACAAGAAACACACCTAGTTCAAAAAGAAACTCATAGACTGAAAATAAAAGGATGGAAAACAGTACTCCATGTGACAGGACCCCAGAGAAAAGCAGGGGTAGCTGTCTTCTTTGAACTCAAAGCAAATTTCAAACCAAGACTAATTAAGAGAGACAAATAAGGTCACTACATCCTTGTAAAGGGAATAATCCAAGAGGAAGAGATGACAGTCACAAATATATATGCAGCAAATACTAATTCCTCCAACCATACAAAACAACTAATAAGGGACATGAAAAGCCAAATATACACTAATACAATTGTAGTGGGGGACCTCAATACCCTATTGTCACAAATAGATCATCTAGACAAAAAATCAGCAACAAAATACTAGAACCAAGCTTTTGAATGAATGGACTTAATGGACATCTGCAGAGTGTTCCACCCCACAAAATCAGAATATACATTCTCTTCCGCTGCACACAGGTCATTCTCCAAAACAGACCACATACTAGCTCATAGAACATGTTTAAGTAAATGCAAAGGAGTTTCAGTTATCCCATGTATATTATCAGACCATAGTGCAATTAAACTTGAGATCAATAGCATATGAAACCGCAAGAACTTCACAAACACTTGGAAATTGAACAACACTCTCCTGAACAACCAATGGGTCACAGAAGAAATTACACAGTTTTTACAATTTAGTGATAATGCCTATACAACACACAGGAATCTATAGGACACAATGAAAGCAGTTCTACCAGAGAAATTTATAGCAGTGAATGCCCACACTAGAAAAACAGAGTGAGCTCAAA